TTATCCCCCAGACAATTGAATTTGATGAAAGTGCAGGTGCTGTTTTGAGGATCCAGCCCCTCCGGACTCCTCGGGATGAGAACATTTATGAGTGTGTTGCTCAAAACCCTCATGGGGAGGTCACCGTCCATGCCAAGCTCACCGTCCTCCGAGGTAAAGAGCATGTCTGCCTGCCATGTGTCAGTGTCACAGGGGAGAAGGGACTCTTCAGCTTCTCCCTTCCTTGAGATGAGTGGGAAGGCTATCAAAAAACATATGGCCAAGGCACGAAGTCCTCCTTTTTTCGGTTTGTTCTGACCTGTCAGATCTGTTTGCTGTTATTATCCCGGAGAGTCATAAAATTGCTATGTAAGAAACAAAGCTAAAACTGGACCACTTGAGGAGGTTTGACTGGATGATGTGCTGAGGTTCCTTCCAACCTGAATTATCCTATGACTCTATGATATTCCCTCCCCTCCAATAAAGATTCCTTCTCCAGGTTTATGAGCAGGACCATCATTCTCCTCAGAAACGTGGCACCATTCACCCAGACACCCAAGAAAACCTTCTCAATTGAGGAATCACTTAATGGACTGAGGCTAAGATGATTATGCACCTGCATGGGCTTTCACGCCATTGGTAGCAATGCCAGCCTCTTCCCTTGTGCAAGATACCTATTTTGCCCTTCTTCTGGGCATCTTCCCTCTTTCCAGAGGTCCTTTGCTTCATGCACTCTCTAAGAAAACAGTTCCCCTCTCCATTTTGTTCTAGTTCTTTTTTTCACTTGTCTCCACTATAGAGGATGTTAACATGTCATCTGTTTGAAGTATGGTCCCTGAACTTGATGTGTGGGAGGGAACAATATGCTGTTGCTGTGGATGCCTCTGGATGTTTACTGTAATTACCCTGGAGATCTGTAAAATTTCTATTTTACACTGTTAGGCTGCTTGCTAAAACTGACCCATTTTAGGGGAAAAGATGCGTGGTGGTCTCTGTTCAAACCACAGGGCAGTGCAAGTGATCCTGGCAAAAAGGGTGAGGTGGATAACTGCCTGAGAGCTCCTGAAGGGAGTTTAGCTTGGGAGCATCGGCTGTTGATGAAGCCATCAGCAGGAGATGCTATAGAAGAGCCACGGGCTTTTGAGTAGGGGCACTTGCAGGAAGAGCCATTATTTCTGCAGTGAGCATTGCTAACAGCAGTTTTAGGTGCTCCAGGCAGTGTGTGGTCCTTATGAGGCCAAGTGGTAGCTCTGCCTGTACACCACTTGCCTTTTCTTCAGCAATTTCAGTGTTCTCTCCAAGAGCATCTCAAATCCTTTTGTTTGAACAGAGAGTGAGCACATCCCTAATAGTGCAGAGTGAAATTTGTGTGCAAATCCCCAACGTACAGCAGTAAATAAAGACCAGACATAAAGGGCACATGGCAAAGCCCTTGACCTTCCCTTGTAGCGGGGAATATCCCTTCTGCTGCCCACCTGGCAGGCTCTGTGTTGTCAAAATGTTGGCTGCCTTTGAGCGTGTAGGCCCATGGTAGGTGCACTTAAATCTTTGTGTAGCTCCTTTGCCTGGCATGGCATTTAACCTTCTATTAGCAGTACGTGGTGGGATGTATCTGTCAGGAGATTGGAACAGCACTTTATGACAAGAGTATGTCTAGCTGGTTATCCCAGAGGGCTGGGAGCCTTATTCTTCACACTGATTCCCATATATTCCCTGGGAGCTGTGACAGTCTGGGAGAAGTGCCCCTGCAGTCATACTCAAAATTTCTACCCCTTGAATTTAGTTAGAAGCAGTGACAAGAGAGAAGGTTGTCCTCCAGCTGCTACCCTCACAAACTGCCTGGATTCTCACTGCGTTTTTTAGGCACTCTCCACCAAAAGAAAGCTGCAGTGTATGGGAAATGACGAGCTGAGCTCAGTAACTGTCCTTAGGGACCGAAGTTCTTCGTACATGTCTTTTTGCAGCTCTTCCTTCCGGTATCGGCATCATACACATGTCAACTAGAGAGACAGATGACAGAACAGGAGCTACATCTCCCCACTGCCTGACTAATTATGCACTTTGCTCATCCCACCAGAACATTATTACTGTGTGCTTTGCTCCTGTGTTGTGCTGCTTTCACAAGCACTCCTATTCTGTTTGCCTAACAGGACCTTGTTTGGTAGCTTTGTTAACTGACTATGCAAGAGCAGCTAGGGTACCCAGTTCACGAAATTTGGGGGAGCAGTAATTAGCTGCAGGCCTGGGCCAAGATGTTGTTGAAGAGCATCAAGGAAGCAGTTTTTATAGCATACCCTCTCTTTCCCATCCTAATCTTTCCTTAGCTTTCACACAGCAAAGATTGTCTCCTCTTTATCCGCATTTTTAATGGGAAACTTTTCCACTGGGAAAGTTAAAAGGACCAAGCACAAATCCACTAATCTCCACAATGTTAGCACGCTGGCATCTACTCCTCTCTTTTTCCTCCCTGCTTCTGCATTCACCCACTCTCCTGTTTGTCTTTTCTCTATCTTTCCTTGCAAGGCCTCCTCCTCCTTTCCGTCTCTCTTCTCTCACTTTCAGAACTAATCCTTAGCATAAAGATGGGGGCTGCTCCACAGCTTGGAGATGAATGTGAGCTGTCATTTGCGGAAGCTGGTACCTTGGTATGCTGTGACGTATGGAAACCTGGGCCCCAGCTGTCACAAACTCTGCAGGACGGGCTTTGTAGTAATTCTGCAGCCTGTTGGCTGTGCTGTTGTAATCACTGTTAGAAATACATGTGGGTACCTTCATGCTGTACACGTGCATGAACAGTTATGGGATTTCCTCAACACCAGTCGAGACAGCCTCATGAACAGAAGAGAAACAGATAATACATTCTTCCCTACTAGATGCAGCTGCTGAAGGGGTTGAGAGTAAACCCCTTTTTGCCTATGCACATGACTACTCCTGGATCAGACCCTGATAGAAATCCACATGCATTCACTTAAAAACAGGAAGCTGCAGGAGAGGAAACCTTTGGGAGCTTCTGAGAAGCAGAGCTTATGATGGACAGCATTCAACTTATACAAAGTCTCTTAACACCAGCTCTGCTGGCTTGTTTGTCCTTCCTGCTCTGTTTCTCAAGGGATCTAGGTTTTGATAGGGCTGTGGAGACGTGCTGTTCTTTCCACAGCTGGCTAGACATAGTGCCTGCAAACCTGCTTCCTGCAGAGCCCAAAGAAAAGGAGAGAAAGTGGTTTTGGGAAGCATTTTCCAGTTATTGTTGACTCCAGCCGCTGTCATTTTTCATTATAACTGACACAGAAAGGAAGCTAGAGGGCACAGGCACCCCAGCTCCCAGTTGGTGCAGTTTCTCTAAGCTCCACACTCCCAGGAAAGATATACATCATTTTTATTATTATTATTATTGCTTCCTGTATACAGATTACACTTTCCCTCCACTTCTTTAGTAGCCTGAGACAGAGATTCTCGTGCTGCAAAGGATTGTCCTACGCTGTCAGCAGCTGAGTGGGCTGAGAGTACAGGGGGGCCTGGCTGCAACTTTCTGCCTGCATTGCCTCCGCTGCTGGGAGGCACAGGCTGGGTTTCAAGCATAGGCCAGACGGGCTTAGTTCTTTGCTCTGTTGAAGCTGATAGAGAGAGTTCCGTGGAGGTTACCCTTTGTGAGTCGTTAGTAAATGCAGCATGATCCCATAAAAACCAGTGCTTGGTCCAGTTAAATGTAATGGAACAAAATTTACTGTGCCCTGATATATCGCTTGCTGCATACTGGCCAATGCTATCTTTTCCTGAGGATTACTGCATTCTGGAAGATTGAGGAAAACTGGATATTAGAATGTAAGGTCTGTGGTACTTACTGCCAGAGTATGATTCAGGCTGCTATGGACAGACTTTCAGAACTTCTTTCTAGTGATTCCCTGTTGATTCTTTTTTTATGAAGTGTTCGTACATTTCTCTTAACAATTCTGGCCTGAAATTTTCCTCACATATTTCCTACTCCAAGAGGACATCTGGTGTGGGCATGTATAAAGTTCTAGCAAGATCCCTGCTGTTTTGTTGTTTTTTGTAATTGTTGGCTTTAGATCAGCAAAAGGTAAATAAAAATCAGTTCTAGATGCTCAGCAGAAAGCATCGAGTCCCACAGGAGCACATACTAAAGAGAAGCTGGCCCCTCTGAAATGTTACCTTGCCACTTGAAAAATTCTTGGCAGACTTTCTTCAAACTTGACTTGTTTTGCTTTCCTTATAGTGACCTGAAAATCAGGCCATGTTGAAAGCAGATCAGTTCTGTAGCTTATGAATAATGTCAGAGTGATTTTAACTCAGATGCCTTTATAAGGAGGGTACATAGGGATACATTAGTGCAGGGATGGCAGTGTATTGCCTGCACTGTTACGGGGTCCAACACACATATCTAAGTGTGTATTTATTGTCTATAAGCCTGCAAATTTTTAATAACATTGTTAAGCTATTATTATTTTCATAATAAAACTTTCAGATCAAAATAAATGGAATCAACAGACAAAGCATGTTACCGAGACTCCTCCATGTATTAAAATTGTCTTTGGAAAGAACAGTTAACTAAGACACAGGTACATACACATTGATGGAAATAACTTGTCAATGTAATTTCACAAGGTGCATAATGCCAGGATACCTGTTGGGGAGGGGGCAGCTGTAAGTGTTCATAAACTTAATGAAAAGAACAGGGATAAGTTTCAGGAGTGCTGGATTTTGATCCTGATTCTGCTTAAAACTAGTGTCACTCAAGCTGCTTCCTCTCTCTGTTCTTGGTTCTTCCACCGTGAAGCGAGGATAGTTGACTGCTTAGAGATCAGCCAGCATCCATGAGCTGGGCCACTCCAGAGAAGAGCGAGAAGTTACTCCAGCAGCATCCTCATTGTGGCTTTCTGCATTCAAGACATAGCGTGTCTGTATGTGCTCACACCCTCCTTCTCTAAATTATTAAACAACTGTGCACATCCTGCGGGAAAAAGAGCAGCAGCAACACCCGCTTTATCTTCCTTTATCATCCTCATTTCTAGCACAGCTAATTATCTAAACACAGAGCTGCCACCTTCTAGAGCGACAACGAGACAGCGAGCACCGGTGTCTCCCTTTGCTGTAGCTGGCGACCCTTGCTTTTACTGTATGACTCTGTGTGTGTCAGCGCATGCGCCCAGGTTGGTTCGGAGCATGTTCCCCAGCACAGAGCATGTCCTCTGGTAGGATTTATTATAAATGAATGCTGAAGTGCTCTTCTCTGTTCTCCCTGCCTCCCTGCATCCCTCCTCCCCTATTCTTTCTCACCCTACTTTGTTCAGTGGCCTTAAGATAATTCACTAGCTTTTCATCGGGGAGGCCTTTAAACAACTCAGTCTAAGAGCAGGTATGAATGGGGTTTTCGTGATGCTCTGTTAATATGGCAAGTGCAACACGTGAAAACATTTGCCTGCATAAGCTAGCATGATTTTCAACAGCAGGCAGCTGCCCAGATGTGCCCTTGAAGCATCTTCAGCTTGCATCTTGATTCTTTGTTCTTGCAGTTGCCTGGGCTGCTTTTAGAAAGAAAATTCACAATCCAAACCATCCCTTATTTATTTATTTGGTAACAGGTTTGGGCTGGTGTTCGGGGATTGATGGCGAGGGTGGCAGGGCATGTGTGTGCATGTTTTGTGGGGATTGAGTTGAGGTTGTAATTGCATTATTTCAGGGAATCCAATTGTTAGGGGATGAAGGCAGTTTCACTTTCCTGGCAGGAAGGAAATCTGAGCACTTGAATCAGTGCAATATGTGATGTTCAGAGATGCTTCCTCCACTGATCTGATCCTCAAATCTGATCACGCCTCTAGTTGCAGTTGTTTTAATTAAACTCAGAGGAATTCTGCACATTGTGCTGCAAGATTAACATTTTTGTTTAATTAGAAACACTCAGTAATAATAGTTGTACCAGGCCTCCCCCAACACACACACGCGCACGTGCGCACACACACTCACGCACATACCCTGCAAGTCAAGAGGGCTATTCTCTCTGTGGATTAATTGGTTCATGAAATTAACGGACACAGGTTTGAGCCAGGTGGAGTAGCATCACCAGGGAGCAGGATAAAAGCGGTAATCAATAATGATGTCATCTGCAGCCAATGCGGCAGCAGCTCCGTGGCTCCTTAACAACACACCACCGCCTGGTTAAATAGCAGAAAGGAAGAGAAGACATTAAAAGCCTGGCTGAAAGCTCTGCAAAGGCAAAGCAATTCCCAGGGCCCCTCTGTCCTGAGCTCACTCTTGGCGGGGGGGGCTAGGGTTTTGCAGCACACGTGATCTGTGAGAGCACACACTGTTTGGAGACTCCTACAAGACCCCAGCACAGCCTGGTGAACTGAGAACTCAAAGGTTTGGTTCAGTCCCTAGTTAAAGATGTTTATGTTTCTATTCGGAATGCAATACCCTGGTTTAGAGGTGCTTCAGATGCACTGAAATGACTATGCCTTTATACAACTGTAAGTTTGTCCATACTAGGAGATCTGTATTACTTTAGCGGTACATAAAATGGTACATGTTTTTGTTTGTGGTCAGATTCCTTTGATATATGAGGAGAGGTGTGGTTAATACGTTTCACACTCTAGTGAGTCACAATAGATCCTTTATAACTCTCCAACAATGGTCAGAGGAAGGAAACAATGCACATTTTTAAACACACAATTGAGGCATTTAAACCCTTTTCTTCTCTGCAGTAGCTGTACGCTGCTAATAACGGTATTAGACAAGAGTTTCAGGTATCAGAGCACCGCACAAACCTTTAGCTCTGCCTTCCTGATCTTCACAGATTTTTAGAAGTTGAGTGTGAGGCACAGCAGTGTGGAATAGCTCTTACCCAAATCATGCGTGTTTGGAGCTCGCGTAGAGCAGTACTGGGATCTGGCGATTCAGGAAAAGACACCCACCATAGCAAGGCCACTGGGTTTCTCTCTTGTTCCACTGTCTCTGGGTTCAGCCACACGTAGTTTGGCTCCATTGCTTCTGATACGTAATGTGCCAACAGTAGGAAATGAGCTCTTGCTGTGTTTGCAGTTGTCAGGGATGTTTCCCAACCAAGGCAAGGGTTTCCAGCCCATCTCTGCTGCCATTGTCAGAGCTCCCATTGGTTTCAGTGGGGGGCTGATTGTGATGTATGTTACTTTTTTAAAGATCCCACCTTTTTAAAATCCTTTATGTTATTTCCCTTCTGTTCCCTGACCTGCTTTTGGGATAGATTTAATACCGTAGATTCCCGAGGCTGTGATTCCTCAACATGCCTCATTTAAAATGATGGAGAATCCCTACAAAGTCTCACCCTGGTGCCTGCATCCTCCTTCCAGGCTGCCCTCTCCCAAAGACTGATTTTCTGGGGGAAGACAATGGCATGTTCCTGAGCTGTAACAGCCAGCGTAAGACAGCTCTCTTCCACATGAGTTAGGAGGTCGTGACAAAGATTATGGGGGAAGCACTGGGCTTTTGTATTAGTTATCACAAATTAGTCAGCATCCTCACCCTCATTAGTGAAAGCAAAGGCAAGTTTGAGAGGAAGCAGGAAGCTCAGTTGAGCCTGTCTTCTAGGTGCTGGTGCCATGTCCCTCTTCTTCTAGGGCAGCAGCATTCTGAATTAATAAATCTAAAAATCACACCCTGTCTGACAGCACTTGGCTTATTGTTGTTATGCGTGTCCCCTCTGGTACCTGCAGCTGGATGGTATTTTCCTCTCCTTTCTCTCCTAGTTTCCACTGTGTCTTTGACAGGCCTTTTCACGTAGTTGCTTTCATTATTTCTCTTGTGCAGTTTGTTTTGTACTGTAGGGTTTGGAGGGGGAAGAGGAACCACTCCTTTTAAATGAGACTGTATAGACTGTACTCTGCAGTGCAGCGATCTTTGCCATATGTGTGCACAGCTTCTGCTGTAAAAACAAGTAAGTGCGAGTCGCTTACCTGACAGAGGGATTCAGTGCAAGACCTGGAGAAACTTTGAAATTACTATTAGGGTCTTTTTTTTTTTTTAATAGATTGCATTTAAATGTAGAATCTTCATGTGGGATGTTAGCATAGTCACACGAAATGGACAAGCTGGTAAATTTTCCTGTATAATGTGTTTTCACAAACCATCTCTGGATGATTTACTGTAGCCTTGTTTTAAATTGCATTGCACAGCGTACTGGGCAGCAAGTCTGCCTGATGCTTTCTTCGGTGTATTCCACTGAACAGCTCCTTCAGCTGCCCCAGTTCCTTGTATGTGTTTAACCACTCTTCCTTTGTTCTCTACCACTAGAGGACCAGTTACCTCCCGGCTTCCCAAACATTGATATGGGGCCCCAGCTGAAAGTGGTGGAGCGGACACGAACAGCCACAATGCTCTGTGCGGCCAGTGGGAACCCAGACCCAGAGATCACTTGGTTTAAAGACTTCCTGCCTGTCGACCCCAGCGCGAGCAATGGGAGAATAAAACAACTGAGATCAGGTAAGGTCTCTGCGTGAGACTAGAGGAATTGAGACCTAGACAGAGACATGAAGAGACTGCTCAGAGGTTTCTGAAGCAGAAGAGAGGGTTGACACGGGCACCACTGGTGTGGATTGGGGCATTAGCTTTTCTTTGGTTTTGGGACTCATGTTCTCACTCAGGGAGTGATTGGAGTATTTTCCCCTCCAGCCCATCCTCCTGGCCTTCCCTACTGCCTAGTTGACATAAAGGGAATCACAGCAGGGAAGCTGGTTCCCGTCCAGGAGACGCAGTAACTAGTTCACTGGATAATGGTGCTCTTTCAGCTCAGAGGGAACTGGGGACTGGATGGGAGCTGAGGGTTTCTTCCTCAGACTGGGTAAGGAAGAAAGAAAACCACTACAGCAGACATGGCATTTTAGGCCACATGCAGCTGGTATAGGGTCCACAGCTCAGGCAGCCTCTGACTGTCAAAACATGATCCTGTTGGTGTAAATTGAGCCTCTCAAAGCTGGCACTGAGGAACACTCTTGCAGGTTCTCTCTGGCCTCAAGTCCCTGCAGTCATCGCTGCAGAGCAGTTGTGGGCATTCTGGAGTGACCCCTTGGTGCTCAGTGGCAGTGCCCATGGAGTGGATCTCCATGAACAGATGTACCCCAGCTCCGTGGCTCTTGTCAGTTTTCTGTCTTTCCCCATCTGCTTGTCCATCTGTCTCTTTTGTTTGTTTTATGTTTGTTTTGTGTGTGTGTCAATGTGATATCTCTTAATGTTCACGTTTCAGGAGCTGTTTTTATACTTGTTGAATCTGCCAGTTTACTGTGTGAGAATGTGTGTTTGTGTACAAGGAGGGCACAGGTGTATTTATTTTTTAATACTATTGATAAAGCTCTTCCACTGATAGCTGCAAAAATGAAACAAGCTTCTTCATTTACTTTTTTGACAAAAAACTAACCCAAGAAATAATCCTTTTCAAATACTGCTTAGACTGAGTGCTTTGACCCAGCCTGGAGAAAACGTGTCTGTGTGGTTGGACCTAGCAAGCACCAGTGTCACTTCAGCTACTCAGAACATTCCTTTGGCCAAGAGAGATGGAGCATTTTCAAGAGTCTTTTTGGCGAAAGAATGGCATTGTTGCAGGCAAAGGGAAAGCAGAGGCTTCAGTGAAGCAACTGGGGTTGCTCTATTCCTGTTAGACATTTTACAAGTCAGCTAGTCAAGCGATAGTCGACTACTTCTGCCCAGACCTCTGCTGGCTCTGAAGAAATCAGTTCTGACTACTGTAATGCTGGATCTGAACATCAGAGAATGTAACTGCCTGGTTTTTCTCTTGCTTTGTTTGGCAAAGATGCTGTATAAAGATTTTTAGTTCTGTGGGCCACTAGTGGAAAAGATTCAGTGTAGTTCCAGTTCAGTGTAGCTTTTATACACCTGCATAAATGCATCCTTATTCAGTGAAGCAAATCTACAAGCAGATACTTAAACTGCTTTGTTGAATTAGAATGGATTGTTGAATCCCACAAACACAGATGAGATTGACCTCCCTGTTTTATCGTAACAGCTGAGGCAAATACAAATAAAAAAAATCATTCAGCATAAATAATGAGAGGTAAACTAGAATTATATCATGCTTCTGTGACCATGAGCTGAAGTGTGAGTAATGCACAGGCAGATTATTTTTAATACATTTATCATCTTGCTAGAATGCCTTTATGCTCCTTAACTAGGTTTGATCTGGTGTTTTCCTTAAAGCCACCTGAGTGCTGCATTTTTATTCCAGTGAATTGGTTAGCTTCAGAGTGAACCCTTGACCTTTTTGATAAATCAGAAGATACCTGCTGAGAATTAATCTCATTTACAGCTGCTTTGAATTAGTAAGCTGGGGAAACCCTGAAGCATCCCTGTTGTCCTTAGGGGCGGAAACCTGTTGCTTGTGTGAAAGGGATCGCAGATTCCTGGACAGTCTTCTGAGTTCCCCTATTTCATCTGCTTTTATGACCTTTCAAAAGTTGCATGTTCTGTGATGCAAAGGCCTGTGAAAATGCAACACACATGAACATTAGGGTCATCTGTACTGCGTTAGTATTTCAGTCAGTGGAAAGGAGTTGTTTTAAGACCAAGGCAGAGCAGATTCAAGTGTGTATTTCTAACCTGAGTGTGATGTGCAAGGTGATGCCTGTTTGAGTGCTGATGATGCGTGTGCTGCTAAAGTCAGAACTTAATTTAATACATTTATCTTTCCAGAAAACAAACTTTGCTGCCAGAAGTGTGGCACTAGCACACGTTAGGGCATTGGATGCTTCAGGACACTGCTAATGAGCTTCAGTGTCTTTCACTCGCAGGTCATCAGTATGACTCCAGCCTAGCTCCTTGGGGATAAACAATTACACCCAACTAACGGGTGTTTGACAAGCCCTCCGTGAACAGGAGTGCAGGGAGGAGGAGTGACCCTGGTACTAAATCACAACTTCATCTCTGCGCTTCGTGCTAATAGGCTTAGCATAGAAGCCAGCGACTGTGTTGTCTCTGAAGACTTGGCTGTGCATTGCTCCCTGATGGAGACTGGGACAGGCTGAGAGAGCAGCAGGACAGGACAGCCACCCAGATTCTGTCTTGGAGATAAAGTCATCAGGATAGCAGCCATGCTGCTTTATTACGAAGGGTGTTAAGAACTGAATTTATATCAATATATGAGTCAGTGGCAAACATGCAAATTAGCTCATTAAAAGGTACAAGTGAAATGTCATACATAGAGCTCTGCAAAATTGGGTAGCTGTGTCCAGATTTGGTTCTCATTTATATTAAAAAAACTGAATGTTTTGCTGGCAATATAAATGGACCTTCGAGACCATGGTCATTATATTCACATCATCCCGTGGACCCATTATTTTATGGGTCTTCAGTATAATTGAGAAACAGGTGATATGTCATTAATCATAGAGGGTTTTCTCTATCCAGTATTTCTTCTTCTCCTTTCCATCTCCAGATAAACTTTCCAAGCAACTGGAAATCATTTAATGCTTGGGGGTTTTGACTGAATGAAAAGCTGAATTGTCAATCAAAGGAGCATGGGAAGAACCTCTGTCCAGGCTCCTGCTTCCCTTAGACATACATGAACATCTCAGCCTTAGAGACCCAGGTTGTCTAATTGCTCATGGTGGTGGAAGAGAAATGGATATTTCTGCTTAACCCCGATGCGAGCAGTCTCAGGACATTTAAAGTAGAAGCCAATGTCCTTTGCTCAGCCGTGCCACCTAGGGGGGATAACGGGAGGCAGCCTGCAGCCACCTTCTTACATCATAGAAACACTAAAACCTTTTGTGTCTTGTTGTTGTCTTCTGTTTTCTAAATAACTGGCTATAACAAACTTATTTTTTCCTTTTTTTTTCTTTTTTTTCACCTTTTTTTAACATTCAGAGACCTTTGGTAAGTTTGTTCAATTAAAAAAAAAAAATCAAACCAAAAAACCCCAAACCTGCTAATGTCCAGATTTGTACCCTTGCCCTTTAAACTAATTCCTTTGTAACAGCTTCTTGAGAGGCATGCTGTGCATTTCTTCTACTAACTCTTTCAGTAGGGATATTCTGCCCTCTTAATGAATTTCTGCAGGGGTATTGCAGGCTACAAAAAGAATAATAATCATCCTAATTAATATATCTGTATAAAGAGATAACAGCTATATATGAACCTCCTAACATTGGATAGATTTTTTTTTTTGCAACTTAGCAACAGTTGTCCTGGAATTCCCCAATTACACAATAGCTTGTACCCTGGAACTGTGATAATTGTGTTCACACCTGCAGGAGGTCTTGGAGTTTCACATCTAACAGGGTTATTGGCATTTTCAGAAGGGACAGGTGGGGGTGCGACATTTTCAAATTGGTGCTGTAAATCACAGGCTATGGGAAAGGGTTAAGCAAAGGAAAAGCCCCCCCTCCAGATCATCTCTGTCCCTTGAGAAGCCAGGAGCCTGTCTGCAGAACTCACGTCACATTTCCTCCGTGTGTCAAGTCCCCTTTTGTTGTTAGAGATGTAGCAATTGCAGCTGTCAGCCAGGATCCGGCATTTTAAAATTGCAGAAGACCCGTGATGATTGCTTGCTTGTTTAGAATAGAAAGCTCTCTCCAGCCCTCGGGAGAGGAGCATAGGACACACATGTTCTCACACGTGGCCTGACAGAAGGTGGGGATGTGTTTTCTGTCATTGCCATGGCAATGGTGACTGTCCTCCTCTCCCTGTTTTCAAGGCTTGGAGAATCCGTAGGCAGCTTGCTGTGTGGGAAGTCAGAGGAAGGGATGGTGGAAGAGCAGATCCTCTGTGACAGAGGGGGACACCTGCACGTGGTATTCTGCCTGGCATCATCTTGGTCCTTTATAATCCAGAGGCAGGTCCTTTAAGCTGCCTTTTGCCTCTGCTGCTAAACACTAGGCTGGCCGTCTGGGCTCATGCAGCCTTAAAATTTGCCCTGAATAGGGAGATCTTCAGATCCTTGGGAGCCTGTGGAAGGCAATATGAATACTTTGCATGTGGCATCTCAGAACCAGCTTTTTTGCTCACCAGCTCAGAAAGTCAGCATCCAGTGTGAGTTCTTCCTCCTTTAGTTTTCCTGCAAAGCTGGTGCCCTTATTCTGCCCTGGACAGTGGTTAGCCTTGTGCATTTGCTCATGCATTGTTTAGGACACCAGGCAAGCCAGCTATTGAATGTGGGTACCTCCCCTCCACCACCATGACCCCGTACCAAATCTTAGAGAACTTGTCAAAGTTCTTCAGAATAATTAATCTATTTCATACCCTCTTCTAGCACCATCCTGCTGCCCCTATATTAAATATGAAGCTAGTTAGATGTGAAACTCCAACAGTGAAAATCTACCATCTGTGTCCCTGCCGCCATTGAAACTACTGTTCTTTCCTTGCAAGTTACTTGATCTCATTTTGATTCAAATTCTGTCCCCTCCATCCCTGGTGTGGGGCATCTTGCAAAACATGTTTTGCTCCTCCTCACCTTTATGTCCCGTGTGTCAGAGTTAGAATTGGAAAGACCAAGGTGGCATTGCTTGGCTTATCTTGCTTTCCAAGAGCACTGTCTCCAAGACAGTCTGCCTCTGAGAGGTGCTGACAACCTATTTCCAGGGGCAGCACTGATACTTAGAGGGAACAGGGAATAACCAACCTACAATGACACAAGAAGGCAACGGCTGCTGTTGTATCTATGCTTACATAGCTCTAACTTCAGTGTGTTTCTCCTGTCAAACAGAGTGAACCTTTGCAGGAAATTGCCAGGCTTAGCCAAGGCCAAAGAAGCTTTATAGCAGTGGGTGATGTTGGGGTCTCTTCCCCTCCTCTACCCTTTTCCCATTAGCCTTGTTCCAGATTTGTGCCACAGATGGCAGATTTTCACTCCAGTTTTGAGACAGAAGGATGTATCAGAGGCTGTTTTTATTTCCACTGAATTGAACTATAACCCTTTGCTGCTTTGTTTCTTGCTCGCTTTTTAAAACCTTCCTGCCATCTCCTGTGTGGAGATCTGCCCAAGTACACGCTCCCCCCACCTCTTCCTCTTTCAAGCGCTGTCTCTCCAACCTTTGTCCTGATAGCTAACCAACCTGCTTTATTAACCTTAGCTAGTTCCTAATCCTAACTAGATGCTAACTTTTCTCTAGCAAATAACCTAACCTCTTAACTAGAAGCTGAATATAACTAGAATCTAATATCCTAACACTATAATACCTCTCTTCCCTCATATCCTTTGAAAAATAAAGGTGAACTGTAATCAGTATCTATATATTTTTACCTTCTATCCTGAGAATGGAGGATTGAACCACAGCACAAGAAGGATGAACAGGGCTGAAGGATAAGAAAGGAAGGGGTTTTCTGGTGGTTAAAGCAGAAGATTGGCACGCAGGAGGCTTTGACTGCTGTTCTTGCCTCTGCCACAGACTTCCCTCTGTGACTTTGGGCAAGTTGCTTCACCTCTACCTCGGTTTCCCCATCTGTAAAGTGGGGGTAATAATGCTGCTGTACCTCACTGTGGGAGAGGAGAGAGTGTAAGGCTGATATTTATCATGTAATGTGCTATACAAGCCCTGCTGGGAGGTGCTGCAGAATGACAGCATTGTTACCATTGCAGAGAAGCTCTTGCATTTCTCCCTGGTAAGAAGCAATACTTGTAATTGCGGAATCTGCCCTGTTCTCAGGATTGGGGTAAAAACCAACCAACTAAAACCCCTTCTTTGATAAGCTGTGTGACAAGTTTGAATGCCACTGTGAGCAAAAGGACCTGCCGTGTTTTCAAAGGAAGATGGTTGCAACCTCAGGAGGTCAAACGGGGACAGTGGTTTTACCATTGACTGTAGCATGGTTCACCAGCCACAATGTCACTTCCTCTCATCTGTGAGAGCTGCCTAGGCAGAAGACTTACATTAGGCACTTAGAGACAACTGGAGGGGGTTTGAATAAAAATAACCCAAGGGAGATGCAGTCAACAGGCAAGTGTAGCAGGACTCTTCTCTCGCCATACAACCCCCCTCCTGCACTGGCATTAGGCAGGCTTCCAAAGCAGTTGCGTGAGGTAGCCCTTGCACTTGTGTACTAGCATGGCCTTCTTTAGTGCAGAGCATCTGGCTTCAGTCTCTGTGCGGAGCCACTGAAGGATAACTGAAGGCCCTGATAAGGACATGCCTTGAATTCCTCACACATCTGTGCCAGTAACTTAAGTTTGGAACGGGGAATTTGCTAGCAAAGGTGGGATCAAACCTGCAACTCTTAATCTGATGCAAGGTACCTTGATGTCCCTTTCCCTGTCTGGGCTAGCACGGCCATAATGCCGACCCTTTTCCCCAGGAATGATGAATATAAATGCAGGTTCATCATATGTTCTGCAAGTAGCAAACAGTAATGTTAGCTGAGAGCTTGAAGACTTTCTTTGCATTCTTAGCAACAAAATGGAGGCAGTCTTAAGACTCTTCAAGCCAAGTGCCATGGAGGCTCTGTCAACAGCCAGCTGAATTGGACTGCTTTAAAAAGGGCATCCCCACCTTAAGTACCCGAACCCTCTTTAGTCTGTCCCTATATTTTAAGATGAGGTAGAGCAGGAAGTTTCCTACTGGGAACTGTCTTCCTTGACTCAGGTCCTTTTCCCACAGGCAGTCCAGATGTTCGGGGTTTTACAGTCTTTTCACTTATTTTCTTTGTTTTCTTTGCAGAAGGTACACCAATCCGAGGTAAGACACCCCCAACTCACTCACTCACCCACTCTCCAAACACTTCTCTCCACTCAGTTCCTGTTTCATTGACCTGTGCTCAATACAGATTCTTCTTGTTGTTGTTGTTGTTATGTTTTCTTGTCCTGCTTCACCTCTGGATATTTCTTTTTTATACCTGTCTTTATTTTATATATGGTTATAATGTCCTTTTTTGTTTGCTGGGTGCACTTGGTAATACTGATACTGTTATTCTAACAACGTCTCAGGCTGTGCTGCCTCAGATTTATGGCAGAATTTTAAGAGCTAATCTCTCCAGGACTGTGAAGGACTGAAGTTTATCTTGAGCATTAAATGCTATCAAAGCTTGGTAAATACTTAGGGCCTTCTCTTGATTGGTGCAAAGTGCTCCCGAGCCACTGATGGTGGTGAAAGTTTTCCAATCCTTTACTCAGATCTTCAGCACTTACCATCTCAGCGTACTCATTTGTTTGGCTTCAGAGCCTTGTTTCCCCTTCCTCCCCGTTCTTTTACCCTTAGGTTTTTCTGGGAAAGATACCCGTGGTAAGTAGCTTCTGCACTGTCTCTTGAATGAAGACAAAAAGATATTAGACTTCAAGCTGTCATTGAAAGTCAGCAAAATTGGAAGACCCTGCTTTGGCTTTATCTACACTGGGGAATTTCAAAGTCCGTAATTCTCTGCTGGTAAAAGCAACAGGAGGTGCTGTAGGTGAGATTTACTTTTTCACACATCATCTCTATTGGCTCCTGACAAGTGCTGAAAACTCATTGACCTCTCTACAGTATAATTTCCACCATTGCATTTACCAGCAAAGCTACAGTGGTCAAGGTGAAAGGGGTGAGTCCTTATTCCCCTGGCGAAGCTGCTTGCCTGCAGTTCATGGTTCTGTTCCTGCTCTGCAGTGTGACTTCGTCTCCTCTGGTGTACGCTCAGACAAGCAGTGCTCACAAGCGGCACAAAAAATTTGTCTGGAACCAGTGGAAGCGACCCACAAATTTGTCCAAATTAACAGAAATTTCCAGGAAAACTCACTGACCAGCTCTCCACCAAAGTGGAGCTTTCAGATGACAGAGCATGCTCGAGCTGTAATTCAGTATGAAATATGCTCAGCTGGTGTCTCAGTGTGAAGCTTCAGTCTGTTTGGTTCAAACTCCTGTTATACTGAAATACCCACAGATTCGATTGAAATGAATTTAGTTTGGTTTAGTGGCTTGGGTTAGGTTTTTTTGTTTTTTAATTCTATCTGCTCTGCCTTTGGGAGCTACCAGACACAGTGGATGCTGGCAGGAGTCGCACTATCACACCCCATCCCTGTCATAAATTCACAGCCTCACATCTTCCCACGCAGCATCCTTTTTCACCCGTGCACACACAGAGGAACATGAGCTCCGTGTCCTCCTCATGTGAACACATTGGTTTTTCCTTCCTGTAGAGGCTGTATCTGCAACAAACACTGATATCATTTGCACTTTCCTCACTTAAGATTTTATCGATAATACTTCACTGATCTGGAATCGTTTGGTTTTCATATTTAGGGGTTTTTTGCAGAGGTGGGAGTTAAGAGTCTTACCACATGTGAACTCTGTCCATATCTGTAGTATAATCATGTACTCCTAATACATAAAACATTTGATAGTCTGTTGAATTATTTAACTGGAATTTTGCAGGGATGAAGCCTTTTGAGGTAAATGAGGCAATTTTCTTCCATGTAGTTACATGCTGCATATCTCTGCATGTCTGCTTACAGGAGTGTTTAGTATGGGCTCTGGGTATATTCTTACAGGCTGCAATAATGTACAGGTTTAAGAAAAACCTTAATCCTTTTGGCCCAGTCGGTGTATACCACACAGGCAATTTCAAAGCTCCAATGCAGTATTTGGAAGGTTTTCCCTTGGCAAAATTCACTATCAGTAAGGTGCTTTTCACACTGACTTTTATCTCCTGCAGGCTTCCTGTGAATCAGGTATTTAGGCACAAAACAAAGGCAGCAGGGATAAAAATGCTCCAGGGATCATAGGCAGTGGGTGACAAAGCCTTTCACTTTTATGGTCACTGCTTCAAATCGAGCAAGGGAAAGTCAACTGCCTTCTGATAGATTTCTGGGGATCACAGTAATATGGATTATTGAAGTTGATTTCATGAGTTCTGGTGCAGAATGCCTGCATTGCAGAAGCCACAAAAGTTGATACTTTTGCTGATCATTTCAGTATGGAGAGTAACACTTAGTATAGAGGGGGGGTATTAAATTTTCTCCTCCTGTTGGGTATGTGTCCAGCCGTAAGGCTGAGCACAGGCATTAGCTGATATCAGCAGAGGGCTCAGTACTTCCAGAGCTCGTAGCCCAAGAGTCCCAGGGAGTGTCCCAGTGTGTATTAGCTCAAGGGGAGGAGAAAGCAAAACACTGATGCTATTGCTCTCTCTTAAAAACAAAACAAAATGGTGATGATCGTGTCTTTGCTGCGGTCTTCTTCTCCCAGGTGGCCTGCAGATTGAAAGCAGCGAAGAGACAGACCAGGGGAAGTATGAATGCGTCGCCAGCAACAGCGCTGGAGTGCGCTACTCCTCCCCTGCTAACCTTTACGTGAGAGGTAGGGAGCGCATCGGCTCACAACACTGGCAAATATCTCCCTCCCCATGGCCTTCCTTTGTCCCCAGCTGTTTGATTCAATCTTGTCCCTGAGCGCGGGGGAAGCACTGGTGTTAATCAGTTGGATCCTTACAGTGCGCTGCTGAGCTTGCAGGGGGATCCTGGTGCACCCTGACTTCCTCGCCGTTGCTGGTGGCTCCAGCTACTGCACCAGCGTTGCAGAGCAGCAATACAAGGCTGTGTCCCCCACAGTGAAGTCAAGTGTGACCCAAAATAGTGTGCCCAAGAATCTGCCAGCATCAATCTGCAGGGCCCAGAGGGGAGTGAACAGCTTTGGCTGCAAAGAGGCCATAATCCCCTTTTCTCCCAAAGGATCCCTGCTCTCTGGAAGTGGGAAGGTTTCAGTTCTACTGGTGTGGGTGTGAGAGGAGGGGAGGACCCTCTCAGCCCCCTCCACTGAGCTCTCTGTCCCCTGGATCTTACCAGATTGCAACAGGAGGGTGCATTCTCACTTCTCGCCTAAGTCATAGCTGGTTTTCCCTTTGCCAGCAGTAATTTGTCACTGGTTCCTTGGGCACGAACGCTGGCTGTGGGCACAGACTCACAGAAAGCTGGACACGGCCAGCAGACATCTCTGCCACAGTGACAGATTCCTTCACCCATGTAACTTGGGGAACAGATGACAGGGGGATTGGCTTCTGCTTGATGCCCCCTCGATGTTCTCACATCCAGTGGGGCAATAGCCTTTCTGCTTTCTTTGTTATCTTATTTTAATCTCTCTGACCTGTAATATTTTGTGTGTAGCTTTCATTTAATATCTTTCCACAGCAAAACCCTTTTGGTAATGAGAGAGCAGGGCTGGTCCTTCTCGCGTTTTTAAAAAAAGAAAAATACCATTGGGAGGAAAAAAGAAAAGTTACATCCCAGCAAACTGTTCCCATTTCCATCCCATCGACAGAGGAAGCGCCTCCCACCTACACTCACGTTAACTCTGCAGTCAAATGCAGAGCCATGCTCCTGTGTGCACTCCTTTCTCTCTCTCTTTCTCTCTCTCTCGTGTCTCACGCTCACTAAATCACATGCACATGGAGAGAAGGCTTTTAATAATTTAATGTTTCCAAGCTAAATTTTTAAATAGCCTTTTGTGGCCAGCTGGAAAATTGCGTTTAAAATTTGCCCTGTCGCCTGGGCCCTGAAATTCTTCTTTTGGGAACATAAATCTGGATCTGATACTAATTCAGGGCTAAATCCTTTGCAGACAGCTTAGCTGGAATGTTTTGGGTTCTTTTTTTTTGGAAAAAAAAAAAAGAAACAGGAAAAAATGTGGGGATTTTTCATTATTTTTTTATTTATAAATTTCCTCTACCTTTCTGGCCACTCGGAAACTACCCAGGAGACAAAGGTTGTAACCATGGAGTTGCCTGTCTCCGCACCTGGATAAGAGTCAGCTCCAGGTGGATAGCCCTCTTTCTATCCAAGTTAGCCTGTGTGTACCTGAGGCCTGCCTGAAAAACAAAGCCAGCATTAGCCGGCCGAGAGAGTGCAGAAAACACCGTCTAAGCAAGCTCGGCCTGTGGTTTGGGTGTTTTTCATGCTGTTTAATTCCTTGTTTCTTGTGTGTTAATATCGTGGAAAGGTAACAAATTTCTGAAATGGATTTGCTTTGGTGGGAGGGAAAGTTCATGCACATTTTTCTTCCCGTTTTTTGTTTTAAGAGAGTCTTGAACACTCTTGTGTTTCCAATTGACTTGTTTCTTCCATAACATGCTTGTCTCTATAGAACACCTGGGATAGGAGTTGTAAGTTTTAACATTGCAAGGAAATGTTTTGGTTTTGTTTTGCATTTCTTTTCTTCTTCTAATTATTTCTTTTTCCTTATTCAGTCCCATTGTGGAGTTAGTGCAAGCAGGACCGGGTGTGGGGCTGGTGGGAGCACGGGCTGGGGGAGTGGATATCCAGCTTGGGATCTCCTTTGTATCGGGTCGTCTCTGCCTGGTACAGGTTCCGCTCCCCCTTCTTTAGAGAGCAGATGGACTTAAAGAAGTGAGAACTCCTTTCTGGGGTTGGCACCTTCGTTGGGTGCTGATTCTGAACTAGAATTGCTCACAGTCTGACCTCTGTACAGACCTTGGTTGTTCTTAAACAAAAGGTACCTAGCTGGATGGGAGGGGGAAAGTTAGGAAGGCAGGAAAGAGGGTCGTTACTATCTTCATTTTTTTTTCCTTTCTTTTTATTTTGATTAAGAGAAAAAAAACAATCAATTTGCAGCTGACAGCCTTGAGAAGGCCTTTTTTTACTCTCTCTGTGTTTCCCCTATTTTTCTCTTCTCCTCATGTCATTGTGTTCTGCATCAAACCCCCTTAACATCCCTCAGAGCTACGAGAAGGTTGGTGTGGTTTTTTTCTTTTTTACTTTCTTTACCCACATTTTTACATTCTTAAGAGAAAAAAATAAAAAAATAAAAAATAAAAAGAGAAAAAGCAAGAAATCTTTAAGATGAGCGAGACCCGCCCGTTCCCGGGTCTTGCAGAGATGAGTTGAGTTGCATTGTGGGCCTCTCTATGCATCCTTTGGTAATGTTGCTGAGTTCTTGCACTTTTTTGTCGTCATGGTTACCTTGCCGTTTGGACATTGGGCCTGATGCATGATAGGAGAATGTAACAATCTTCTTTGCATGCCACTTTTTAAATTAATTATGAATTATTTTTTCTATATATAAATATTTATGGGTTTTTTTTCTTCTACAGTTCTGGTTTATTTGAAGTGGATTTACTGTTACTTTCTAAATTTTCAGTTCTGTTGGGTTTTTTGCTTTCTCTTGATTTCCTATTTCAGTTTTGATTGGTTATGCTGTGCTGTAGTTTATTCCAAACGCATTGTGAGAAGCCAGTGTTCCTGCCCACCCGGTGGTAACTGAACTCCTCAATCCGTCCAGGAGGAAAGGAGTCACACAGCTCTAACGCCTGTCCATGGAAGCCCTGCTATTTGGGACAAGCCTTTGTTTTGGGGGGAGGGAGGGATCTGGGAAGTGGAAAAGATGGTAAGAATCCAGGGTGTCGTTCCAAGAGTTTAGAGCAGACCCTGGGTCACATTATTACTTACATATTTCTTGGAGGTGTGGCTCTTGTTCCACATCCTGCACACAAAGAAAAACCCTGATCCCTCTCTGAAGGGCTTCCCCAGCGATGCAAAACTCACTGGTAACTGGCCATTTCCTTCCAGTAATACCTAAGACACTGCGTACGGGAGCTAATCTGCTTTCAGCCCAGGATGGGTAGACAGAAAGCTTCCTGCTGTGTTACTGAATCACAGGCAGTTGTCTTTCCTTTAGCACCTAGATGTGCGTGGAGAGCCCCATCATCAGGCAGTGCCTTGTCTCATCAGCAGAACTTGGCAGATTCCCTTGTAGGAGGGTGATGCCTTGTCCTCGCAGTGTCGGAAGTGAAGGGCAGCCAGCCAGCCACCTTCTTCAGAAGGGTAGCTGGGTCTCATGGCTCTGCCTCTCCCCATTTACCCTCTTTCTTCCCTGTCATTGAACCATTATTGCCTGGCTACAGGCACCTTGAAAACCAGCCAGGTCCGGAGAAGGTAGAGCCCTCCTTTCTAAAGGAGCGTGGAAAGAGAAATGCAGCAGTGGTAGACACGAAAGAGGCTGCTGGGACACATCTGGCAGCTGCATCTCTATTGTAAACAGCAACAAGAAATCTGACAAGTTACATTCTAGCTGAAAATGCCTCTTTTCCCTCTTCTCATCTCCCTGTTTATCCCCGTTAAGCTTCTGTTGCCTCCCATGTGTGCATCCTGAGTGGGTGAGCCACATGGGATAGTAAACAGGTGGGTTTTTCGCAGTGTGTTAGTTGTACCATTGGCACTTGGTGCTTTTGCCCTTTGCAGAATTGAATGCCCTTTCTTTCCCTGTTTATGCATTTCCCCTCTGCCCATCAGTCCTCACTACTCAATAATCTACCAAAGGAGTGGCTTTCCTAGTGTACAGGTATTAAAGCTGTGTGATTTTTGAGAAATCCAGTGCAGTATTGACACAGTATCTGTCTCTTTCTTTCTCTATCTCTCTCTTTTCTCTCTGTCTGTCCTTCTCTTTTTCTTAAAATGCTGAGATTTCAGTGCTCGGACCCTCAGTGCTGGTATTCCCCCCTCCCTCTTTCAAGTCTCTCCCCCTCTCCCCTTAGATACAAGGGTACCACTCCGAAATGCTGCACTGTTGATAATGTCTTTCTGAAGTGGCCAGCTGTGGCTCTTCTAACTTTGATGCCAACAATAGCCAAAAGACATCCCCCAGCCCCAATGCTCTATTTAAAGAAAAAGAAAAAAAAAAAAAAAAGAAGAAAAAAAGGCTTGTTCTATTTAAAAAGAGCAAGAGAGAAGGAATAGTATTTGAAATGAGGTGTCCCCATCCCACCTCCCTCCTGCCTAGGACTAAAAGGTGATAATCGCTACTAATTACAAGATTTTCCTTCATGAATAGGAGTTTGAGTTCCAGGATTTAGGTGAAATTAAAAAGGGATTTATATACCATTTTTTTTATTTGTTTATTTTATCTTTTATAAAGTATTTCTAACATGTCCAAACTGCACTGCTGCTGCTAGAATCTCTTGTGATCTGAGAAGGTTTTAAGATTAAATTCTTCCTTAAGAGCCAATAAAAATAATAATACTATCAACAACAATAAACTAAAGCTAAATTGAATGTAGTCATGGTAGGCTGGAATGACACTGGGCGAGGAAATAGAGACTTGATATCTGGCTAAAAGAGTTCATATGGTTTGCTAGAAGTTATGGGCATGGTCTTGAAATTATTGGTTAAGGGTTTGCCTTGTGTATTATTACAGATCAGATCATGCCATGGTCCAAAATAACAAAGAGTCTGCTAATAGGGAATTTCCAAGGTCAAAATGCAGAAGCATCTTTATGGAGACCCACAAAAGCAGATCAGAAGCAGGTGAGATGAATTCTGCCACCAGCCTAGGGTGTATGAAAGTTTCTA